TCCCTCCATGCACTCCTGCCCCCTGAACTCTCTCCCTGTCCATAAACAGCCCTTATTTCTCCCATGATTGTTCTCTCCAAGGAGTGTATCTACCTCAGGGAAATGTTCAACTCATATGACTGTCTTGTTTGGCTGGAAGCCACAGGTGTATGTTCAATTCCAGACCTGATGGGCAGCTAGGGGCCATAGTCTCAGTGGTTCCATGAGGCTCTATCAGACCAGCAAATCTGGTCCCCCCCTTTTTTTTTCTCCAAATTATTTTGAATTTAGTTCCACATTGTTCTCCCTCTCTGTCCAGGATCTCCTACATAGAACCCCCTCCCTGTGGTTGACAGTGCTAGCCAGGCACCATCTAGTTCTGGTCTCATAGTCATATAGGCTGAAGATCTCATGGTGTACCAGTCGCTGGGACTAATTGTTTCCATGAATCTTTGGTTTTCTTCATTCTTCTTTGCTCTGGATGGGGAGAGACCCATCGTTGCATCTAGATGGCTGCTTGCAAGCTTTTAAGATCCCAGTCGCTACTCGCCAAAGTAGGAGGTGGAACAATGTTCTGTGTAGTATGTTATGCCAATTGAACTTGATGTCCCCTGCGACTATAGTCCCGAGCCCAAAGGTTCAACTACTTGGTCCCTCTGGGTAGTTGGCTGTGACTAAGAAGAGACTACAAACTTGTCCCTTGTCAGCTCTACTATACCCCTGGAAATTCTTACAAAACATACAAATACACTTGTAGAACCATTGTCTGCCAACCCTATACATGGTCTTGGGTTGCAACACTCCCTGCTGCATAGACATACCTAATAGTTCAGCCTGTCCAGCCATCTATCCACCTGTATACCTGTGTTTGCCTTCGCTGACAATGCAGTACTGTATGTACAAAAGGGTTATTAAATTTCTTGCATTCTATCCATCAAGTTATTTTCTAATCTTAATTCTATTATCTACAAATGCAATGAACATTACCTTTTGTCTATACATTACTTGTTAATTAAAATATTGAACAGAGTAAGCCAAGTGGAGAACTATGAAACATTTAAAAAGTAATCAACACACTGGATATGCTTGTTCCATCAAGTACAGGTACAAACCCTTCTGCAGTATCATGCATTCATGCTTCTTCATCCTTCCCACAGAGGGAGGATAAACCAAACCAGCTGCTGTTGAGTCAATTTCAACTCATGGTGCCCCCATGTGCCTCAGAGTAGAGCTGTACTCCTTAGGACTGTCTATGACTGTGATCTTTCAGAAGCAGGTCATCAGCCCTTTCTTCTGAGACACCTCTGGGTGGATTTGAACTGCCAACTTTTCAGTTAACCCCTTATGCGACCCAAGGACTCCTAAAGAAGGAACTATCACATGCCTTATAAAATCACTGCATACTCTGTTTATGGCCCTGATCAGATTCCCAGTCTAGAAATCTTAGCCCAAAAGGAAACAAGTAAGTTTTCTTGGATATCCAGTATCCTCTTAGGAGTCAAGGAGCTCAGGTAGCATAGTGCCTAAGGCATTTGACTGCTAACCAGAAGGCTGGCAGTTCAAACCCACGAGCCACTCCTTGGAAGGAAGTTTGGGCAATCTAATTCCATAGTGATAGTTCCTCAGAACCCAAGGAGGGGTCGCTATGAGTCAGATCCAACTCAACAGCAGTGAGTTTGGTTTTTGGTTTTCTTAGGAGTCATTTCTCCCAGACCCCCTAGTCAATAATTCATTCCAGAATGGATCCAGAAATTTGCCCCAGAGTGGAGTCAACCTCATCTAGAGCCACCTTTTTCAAAACCAGGATCAATAGTTACCCATATCCAGTATTCACACTCCATGATTTCTCACAGATTACTGACAATGATTTCACAATCTAACCTACAAATCATCTCAAGTTCATACAGCGCAATTCACCTTGGTCTGATACACTAGAACAAAGTGAAAGAAGCTAAATGTTCTTTTAAAATCTCTACATAACTTGGGCTTCAAGTCTTTCATAACTGTGCTTGTCTGAAATTTTAGTTTACCAAGCAAACTCTTCAGTGAGAAATATGAAAGCAGAAACAGGAATGAGGTAGTTCTGCCTTCTCTTTGATATTGTTATTCTCTTCATTGAGTAGTATATCCATTCACTTTCTGATACTGTTTGTTGTTGATAGCATTTTCCATAGACTATATCTCAGTCTTGTGCTTGACCAACTTGACTCTGTTTTGCACACACTTTTGCTCTCATCTTCAGTGTTGCCCCATTACTTTGATCAATTGTTTGTGTCCTTTCTTTGAGCTCAGCAGAGAGCACTCTGATTACAGTGCCACTCTCCACCCACCAAATCTTCATTTCTTCCTCATCTGGCATATATGCAATTGTTGTGTTGTTGTTGTTATGTACTGAGTCAGACCTGCAGCAATTATATGCTTCAAATTTTATTTCTGAGAACTCCCTATACCTTTTTGTGCTATTTTTCCTTTCTGCAGTTTCTGGCCAATGGAAGAGGGCTCATTGTTGCTCTGTACTTTCTTCCCACAAGCCTGTGGGCTTGGAGAACAACGGAGCATTCTCCTTCTTTTGTTATGAACCCAAACACGCTCTTCCCCTCTTTTTTGTCACTTTGATATCACAGCCTTTGTGGTTAACTTGACAGCCATTTCCCTCATTGGTTCCTCTCACTTTAGAATCATTCAGTAATTCTTAGCCCCTCTGGGTGTGGTAAGCAGTTAACACACTCAACTGCTAACTCAAAGGTTGAAAATTTGAGTCTAGCCAGAAGAGCCTTGGAAGAAAGGCCTGGTGATCTACTTCTGAAAAATCAGCCATTGAAAACCCTGTGGAGCAGAGGTCTGCTCTGACACATGAGATGCCATAAGTCAGAACTGATTCAAGAACAACTCTTTCTCCATCTTCTCCTTTTCCTTCTCCTTCTTCTTAGAGTAGAGCTACACCTTCTCAAACCTGCTGATTGAAGAATCCCTTCCCAGCTATACCCACTCTCTGTTCTTTCATTATCTGTTCTAGAGAGGCTCCTTCCACACCCCTTTCTTTCTCCAGTACCACCAATACGACCCTCTCCTGCCTAGAGACTAGATGTTGGTTTACCTGCTAAGATAAGACTGGAGGTGTGAAAGGATCGCACACTAGGAGATGCTGAAATTAGGGGATCAGACAAAGCCAAGAATCAGATAGGAATCTAGGTTCAATAAGCCAGAAATGGGAGTCTCAGCATTTTGCCAAAAACTGAGGGACCAAAGCCCACAAAGATCAAAAGATTGGGTAAAAAAAAAAAAAAAAAACACAAAAAGGTAATTTAGGAAACAAAAGATAGTGACTCTGGATGAGTACCTTCAGCAAGCATTGTGGTCCATTGTGCAATGCATGAGCGAACCCAAGGCCCATTGCTATTTGTTTACCTTTATGCTCACATACACACCTCCTTCCTGTAAGGTTCCTGGATTTCCACTCAAGTATGGGAGCTCTGGTAGCATAGTGGCTAAGGCACTTGACTGCTAACCAGAAGGCTGACGGTTCACACCCACCAGCCACTCCTCGGAAGGAAGATGAGGCAATCTACTTCCGTAGTGATACTGCCTCGGAAACCCAAGGAGGGGTCGCTATGAGTTGGGTCTGACTCGATGGCACACAACAAACAAACAATATGTTTTATCATCATATGACCTCCTACCTCCCCTGTTAGATATTTATAAAATTTTTAACACTGCCAGATTCCATATTGAACCTCCTCCCTGTAGGTTTTGGTGGTGCCTATTAGGAGTTCTGGTGGCAGAGCACCTAAGGCATTTGACTGCTAACCACTTTGGAAACCCAAGGAGGGGTTGCTATGGGTTGAATCAACTCAAAAGTAGTGAGGTAACATGAGCCTCTTTGCACCAAAATAGCAAGTACTCTTTCCTTATCGAGGAGCTCTGGTGGCATACTGGGTAATGCATTTGACTGATAATCACAAAGTTGGTGGTTCAAACCTGCCAGCTGCTCCATGGGAGGAAGATAAGGCAATGTACTTCCATAAAGATTTACAGCCTTGGAAACTCAATGGGCATCACTATGAGTTGGAATCAACTTATGGCAGTTGTTGTTGTTATGTGCCGTCAAGTCAGACCCGACTCATAGCGACCCCTCCTTGAGTTTCCAAAGCGGTATCACTACGGAAGTAGATTGTCCAACTTTCCTTCCTAGGAGTGGTTAGTGGGTTTGAACCACCAGACTTCTGGTTAGCAGTCAAGTGCTTTAGGCACTTATCACCCATAGTGTGTGCTTTGCTATCTAGACACCACCATAACCACTAACTTTTATTGAGTACTTTCTATGTACCAGGCATCATTCTATAATAGATGGTATAAGCCTTAAGTTCTATTATGATACCAATTGTACAGATGTGGACACTGAAATATAGAGTAGTTTAGTAACTTGTCCAAAGTTACATACCTAGTAACTGGCAGACTCAGGATTTGAATTTAGGTAATCTGGTTGTAAGGAACCATGGTGGCACAGTGTTTAGGCTGTTAACTGAAAGGTTGGTGGTTCAAACCAACCAGGCACTTCATGGGAGAAAGATGTAGCAGTGTGCTTCCATAAAGATTACAGCCTTGGAAATCCTATGAGGCAATGCAACCCTGTCCTATAGGGTTGCTATGAGTCAGAGCCAACTCAACAGCAGTGGATAATCTGGTTGTATGGGGCAGTGGTGGCTCAGTGGTAGATTCTGTCTTTCCGTGCAGGAGACCCTATGCACAATGGACCAAAATGCTGTCTGATCCTGTACCATCTCCATGACCGGTTGGGTCTTGGACCATTGTGATCCAAAGAGTTATTAATGGCTAATCTTTGGAAGTACATCACCAGGCCTTTCTTCCTAGTCTGCCAGTCCTCTAAACTAGACCTTTTCCTAGTCTAAAAGCTCCACTGAAACCTGTCCAGCATCATAGGAACGTACGAGCTTCCAATGCAAGACAAGCTGTGCAAGAGGTGCGTTGGCTGGGAATCAAACCTGAGTCTCCGCCATGGAAGGTGAGAGTTCTGCCACAGAACAAGCAATGCCTCAGAGCACCAGCATTTGCACCAGTTGCCACAGGGCAGTGCGGAGGGGGCCAGCTGATGCCCTGCACATGCATTATAGGAAGGGAAACCTGAGCCTGGGGAACTCAAATCTTTGTAACGGTCAGTAACCCTGCCTGACTTTTGCCCCAAAGGGAGACATTGTCTTTATTACACTGAATTGTTTAGAATTTCTGCTCATTCTTCCGGGAGGAGATACTGTCTCTGTCTTCCAAGGCTGTACACTATACAGCCTACTGCCATCAAGTCAGGTCCGACTCACAGCGACCATTCCTTGGGTTTCTGAGGCAGTATCACTACAGAAGTAGATTGCCCAACCTTCCTTCTGCGGAGTGGATGGTGGTTTGAACCGCCAGCCTTCTGGTTAGCAGTCAGATGCCTTAGGCACTATGCCACCGGAGCTCCCGTTCACTGTACCAAGATCCTTGAAAACGCAGCCTACAACAAAGGCAGCCAGTGCCCCTGCTCACAAGATGTGCGTGTCTTTGACAGATAACTTGTACCCCCTTATCCTTTCTCTTCAGTGATTTTCTGCTCTGTATTCTTCTCCAGAGTACAACCTTAGAAATATATCCTAAATGTCTTTTTATGACATTAAAACAAGCTAGAAAAACTACTGGTTTTTAAACATGGTGATGGGAGGGTCTATGGATAATGGTCCTGGCTATGAAAGGAGACATGACAAGGGCAGAGAAGTGGCTTTGGGTTGAAACATTGTGTGTTTCCTTCTACCCAGGTAATTTATGCCGCTGCACGGGATACAGACCCATTGTGGAGAGCGGGAAAAGTTTTAGTCCTGTGAGTATGAAAAATGGACAGCTACTGAGCTGCTTTTCTGAATTAAACAGAAAAGCCTCCCACACTTTACATGGAATTGGTTTGCAAGGAAGGCTCAGTATTGTGCTTTAGAGACTCCAAGGATTTAACCATTTTGCCCATCCAGCAAGGGTAATGAGGTATTTTTCTCAGAAATGCAGACAAGTAGCACCTTAATGGGTTTTTTGAAGGTGAAGACTATATAATAGCATATTCTGAGTGAAAATGGATGAGGCCATCTGCCTACCATCCAGCTTTGTGATATGAGAAGCCGAGAAGAGTCCATTTCTCACACTGCCTTTTCAGCAGCACATTTTGTTGAGTCACAGACAAAGTGAAGCATTTGGTGAAATAAATGCCCATGTCCTTCCTGAATGTGATTCCATTTTTTGATTAGTACTGATAGTATACAACAACAATAATATATGGGGAAGAGAGAGAAACCACTTTCATCTTTCATGGTGTGGAATCAACAGCCCCTCCAACCTGCAACTTCCATGGAGCACTAGTTTCAGACCCTCCTCTACCCACTCCCTACACACACACACACACACACACACACACACACACCAACAAATCCATGGTAAGTAATTAGTTGGAAAGACTGTTGTTGTTGTTTCCCATAGAGTCAATTTTTGACTCATAGAGACCCCGTGGGATGAAATATAATTCCCCCATGGGGTTTCCCCTAATATTTATAGGAGTAGATTGCCAGGTCTTTTTCCCTTGGAGCTGATGACTAGGTCTGAACTGTCAACCTTCTGATTAGCAGCTGAGCACTTGACTGTTGCACCACCAGGGCTCCTTGGAAAGGCTAGATGGCATCAGTAATGTGAAAAACATACATACAATTTTTTTCCTACACAGATATACCTTAAAAGCAGCAATAAATTTATACATCCAGAGATGTTTGGATTCCTATATTGTTAAAAGAATGTGGAAAATTGAGAAAGAGTTAAAATCAGACCAAAAGGTGACATGTAAGGAAACACACTTACAGAAAGAATGGAGACTAGCAAGCTACGTAAATAAAATTGACATGAAAAAAATCTATGTAAGACATTTATTATGGTAGAGTTATACATGTTACTATTACCATCTACTTGGACTGGAGAAGCAAGACAAATTGCAATGAGATCTATTCATTTGTTTGCTCATTCATTCTTTCATTCATTTATTTATTTGAAATTATGTGTTATAGACTCTAGGTACCTTCCATTGTTACCTGTATTTCATTTTCAATTTCCTCATGAATTTAAAGATTATTTGAATCAATTTAATTAACTAGAACACTGGGTCAAATAAACACATAGTAAATATTTGTGTCAGATTCCCTGGCTGAAATAAACAGAGGAGTCATGGATTCAACCAAAGGAAGAATTCCTCAGTGGAACCCAACCCCAGGGCCTTGGTGGCAACTGGAAGGATATTTTTCTAGTTTCGGAGGCTCTGGGGGCCAAGCCTTTCAGTCTTCCCTTGGGAGAACTGCTCCATACTCCTCTCTGTGGAAGGACTGTTTTAAGGATTGAATATTCTAATCCATGTATAGACCTGAGAACAATGCCTAGAATGTGGTAGACAATCAAGAAATTATAGTTATTATTAATAACTAGAGGGAATATGAAGTTGAGGTTTACAAGCATGAGCTCCATTATTAGAATGCCTCGCTTCAAATTCTGGTTCTGCTACTTTCTAGCTGTAAAATTTAGATAAATTACTTAACCTTTTAAGGCTCTGTTTCCTTATCTGTAAAATGGGCTTGTGATTGCAAGATCATGTCTGCAAGTTACAAAACATCATTCCAAGCATGTATTAAGCACTCTACAAAACCTCTGCTACAATTATGACAGTGACTAGTACTACTGTGACTATCACCATTATTACTGAAATTACTCTTACTACCTTTGGTGGTCCATTGCAACTCTAGGATTCTCTGACTTTGCCATCCTTCTTTTCTTCTTTAGAGTTCATCTTGCTGTCAAATGAACGGGGAAGGGAAATGTTGTTTGACTCAAGAAGAAAATGAGCCTGGGAACAAAGCTAGTGTAAGTCTTTCACTCTCCTTTTGTGGCTGTGGCTTCTCATGTCTGGGTCAGTGCCCCCCATTGCACTCAAAGGGCTTAGGGAGCTGGTGGAGGGGGCTTGTAAAAGTTTTCAAAACAATTGTTCCTCTCCAAGTCCTTTTCTCTCATTCCTTCCACTGATCCTCAACCACTGAAGACCCAAGTCTTCCTGAAAGGAAAGGATTCTCCATGCTGGGGCTGCCAGTAAATAATAGCTATTGAAAGATAGCACCAGCATGGTGGCACCAGCTTTGGCTAGAGAGGACCCAGCTCAAGTCCCAGCCCTGTAACTTTCCAGCTTAAAGGTAACTTCCTCCTTAGTATAATAGGGAAAATACTTAAAGGAAGTTGTCGGGAAGGTTAAATTCTACATGTAAAATGATGTACATCAAACCCTGAACCCAGTGACCAGCATTTAGCAGTTGCTTAGTAAACACTAGTTTTTCCTAGTAACTGATGTTTGGAATTGCCCTTAAAACCAATCTTGGCGTCACAGCCAGCTATCCAGAAGAACTGAGTAGTTGAACATGCAGGCTTGGGACCATAGTCACAGGGGACATCAAGCTCAATTGGCATAACATATTATACAAAACATTGTTCCACCTCCTACTTTGGTGAGTAGCGATTGGGATCTTAAAAGCTAGCAAGCTGCCATCTAGAGGCAACGATGGGTCTCTCCTCATCCAGAGCAAAGAAGAATGAAGAAAACCAAAATTCATGGAAACAATTAGTCCTAGCGACTGGTACACCATCCTATCTGCACCATCCTATGAGACCAGAAGAACTAGATGGTGCCCTGCTACAACTGTCATCCACTTGGAAGGGGATCTATGTAGGAGATCCTTGATAGAGAGGGAGAACAATATGGAACAAAACTCAAAATCATTTGGAGGGGAAAAAAAAGGGGGCGGGTGACCAGGTTTGCTGGTCCGATAGAGCCTGGTGGAACCACTGAGACTATGGACCCTAGCTGCCCTTCAGGTCTGGAATTGAACCTACACCTGTGGTTTCCAGCCAAACAAAATACAGGCATATGAGGTAAACATTTACCTCAAGTAGATACACTCCTTGGAGAGAAGGGTACACTCCCATGAGATACACTCACGGGAGAAAGAAGGGCTGCTCATGCACAGGGAGACAGCTAAGGGGGCAGGAGTGCATGGAGGGACGGACACTGGGAAAAGGTAACTATGGGGAGGAAGTGGGAGGGGAGCTGTTGCATTGTGGTAAACTGTGGTCAATGACATGAGACAAAGTATATATGAACCGCTGTATGGAAAGTGAATGTGCTCTGTAAATCTTCACCCAAATCACAATTTAAAAATAAATAAATAAATAGAAATAATTCAGCTCTACCAGAAGACAATAAAACTAATTAGTAGTTTAAAAGGAGCTCTGGTAGCATAGTGGCTAAAGCACTTGACTGCTAACCAGAAGGCTGGCGGTTTAAACCCACCAGCCACTCCTCGGAAGGAAGGTTGGGCAATCTACTTCCATAGTGATACTGCCTCGGAAACCCAAGGAGGGGTCGCTATGAGTCGGGGCCGACTCGAAGGCATATAACAACAACAACAACAACAGTAGTTAAAAAAAAAAAAAAACCAGTCTTGGCAAAAGATGGCTCACAAAGTGAATGGGAACTAGAGTCTCCTGTCTTCTACTAGTCTCTCCTCTAGTCAAGAGGACCTACTTGATTTCTTTTTAACACCCCATGAATAACCTCCATCTAAATCTATGCTGGCTACATTCCCTCTCCTCTCCTTCCACCAAGAGGCCTCTGCAACCACTTGCTTCCCTGATTTCCTGCAGAGCTTGCTGTTTGTATCACTTTTTTGCCACTTAAACCCACTGCCATCCAGACATTTCTGACTCACAGCAACCCACATTGGGTTTCCAAGGCTGTAAATCTTTGTGGAAGTAGATTGCCTCATCTTCCTCCGATAGAGCAGCTGATGTATTTGAACTGCCTCCCTTCTGGTTAGCAGCCAAATGCCTTACCCACTATTCCACCAGAGTTCCTTGCTAATGGTAGAACTCTTGCCTTCCACGTGAGAGATCCAGGTTCTATTCCTGGACGGAGCACCTCACGGCAGCCGCCACCACCCATCTGTCACTGGAGGCATGTGTGTTGCTATGATACCAAACAGGTTTCAGCAAAGCTCCCAAGTTAACACAGACTAGAAAGAAAGGCCTTGTGATCTACCTCTGAAAAGCAATCAGTGAAAACGCTCTGGATCACACTGGTCCCATCCCAACCTATCACAGAGGTGCCACAAGACTGAGCACTATTTCGTTCCATGTACATGAGGTCACCACGAGTTAGAGGTCAACTTGATGGTGTCTAACAATAACGTACTATAATGCTTCTTTCTTCAGCTGGTTCCAATGCCAAGCTCTAAGGAGAAGTTTCAGAGCTGCCACTTTCCCTCTGTCATCCCACTCCGCCAGTCTTCTCCAGCCGGAGTAACACTGGAGGGCTAGTCCACATCTCAGCCCCTTGTCTCTCCAACACCCAGCTCAGGGTCTTCCAAACAGGAGACACTCAAAACTTAGATAATAATGACCATGGCAATTATCACCCTTTGACTTTGTTTTTACCAAACAGACTAAAACATTCATTTTTTTTTTTCTTAAGGTTTGTACCAGATTGTATGATAAAGAAGAATTTCAGCCCTTGGACTCAACCCAGGAATTTATATTTCCACCTGAACTAATGATATGTTCTTTGTCTTCTATTTCTGTTTTGAAGCCAAAAGTGCGAGAATAATCAGCCCTGTCAGTTTATCACCAGTTGCATGTCCACTGACATTTGCCCTCAAGATACCTTTGCACTTCTGTCACCCTCAGGAGCCTATGGCAGGCATGCTTCCTCCCAGGCCTTGACCCTGGGTGAATCCACCTTGCCTCTGATCTTTCATGTAATGGAACTCCCCTCCCTCCGTGTCTGGAACAGCACCAGCAGAGTCCGTTCTGGCATACAAGTATCTCTATTAAATACAAGGAAATCCAGGGGACAGATCATAAACAGAAATGGGAAGTTACAAGTTCATTTTATTTCCTAATAGCTTGGCACAAGTTTAAAGCATTTCGCTCCCTCCTTTTATTTTTTAAAAATTGCTCTTCCAGGCATCCTTTGGACTCACATGTATTTATTTTCCAAACTTTTGTTGGGAACCTCAGGCACTGAACTAGGCATTAGGGACACAGAAATGGCCAAACCACTTGCTCATAAGGAATTTATGATCAAGTGGAGAGACAGACAGACATGTCAATAAAATTAACAATAAGATGTGAAGGCTGTTAAAATTGAGACCTGAAAATGGGTTCTGGGGTAGAGCAGAGAATAAGAGGTGGGATAGCGAGACATGCAAAGAGGCTTCTTCAAGGAGCTAAACTTGAGCTAAAACTTGAATTATAAATAGGAATTATGAAGGAGTGGAGAAGGGGAATGAGTGGCCCATCTAGGCAAAGTGAGTATCATGTGCATAGCCTGTGGCTTTGTGAGACAAGGAACTTTCAAGAAAAACAAGCATTTCCAAAGGACTCAGACTCACCAAACTCACTGCCTTCAAGTCAATTCTGACTCACGGTGACCCCCATTGGGTTTCCAAGGTTGTGAATCTTTACAGAAACAGACTGCATCATTTTTATTCTGCAGAGTAGCTTGTGGGTTCAAACCACTGAAATTTTGGTTAGCAGCCAAATGCCTTAACCACTAAACCACCAGAGCTCCTTTCCAAATGACTAGAGCATAGCATAATAGAAATTCATTGCAACCCCAGTCTCAGCCCAATGTATGAATCTAGTTTTGCTCAGGTAGTGGGGAACCATTAAAGGATTTTAATCAGGGGAAAATCATAATAATATTTGCATTCTTAAAAGATCACTTTAGCTATCACATGGAGAAAAGATTGGAAAGGGTCACGAGTGAGTGCAGAGTGACAGGTGACAATGACAGCAGTTTAGGAGAAAGACAGTGGTGTCCAGGATTAAGAGGTTGTAGATGGAAAGAAGGAGACAAATAAGAGAGATATTTAAACAATTGGGTGGATGGGTATGGGTGATAGAGACAGAGGGAGGGGTCATGGATGACTCCTAAACTTACACAATAAGATGCTGAGTTAGAGATACTGGAGTAGAACTACTTTTGAAAGGGCAGATCAGGACTTCAGATTTTTACACATTAGTTTGACAACCTTTTAACAAATTCAGAGGGAAGTGTCTTTATATATGTATATATGTGTATGTATATATATATATATATATATATATCTCCTCAGAGGAGAGGTCAAGTCTGGATATATATATTTACAAGTCACTAGGATTCAAAGCCACAAGTACTGATAAGAGCATGTCTGAGAATAGGCCCTGGATCTAAATCCCAGGGAATTTCAAATAACAAATGGGTGGAAAAAGATGAGTGGACCCAAGATTGAGAAGGAAAGGCTAGAGAGGTGCCATAAAAACAGAAGAATGAGTATTCCAGAAGCAGTGGAAGAAAATGTTTCAAGAAGGAGAGAATGACTGAACGCAGCATGCGTTGTTGAGAGATCAACTAGTATGAAGACTGCAAATAGTGACAGAGACAGTTAATCTCCGTAAGTGTCAAGAGTTGGTTGAAGAGAGCAGGAACGGAAGAAAAAGGAGGCAGTGAAGTGAAAGAGTGCTTTAAATAATTGACCAGAAGGAGAGAAAAGAGATGGCAGTGGCTGGAGGGAGACTAGGGTAGAAGAGTTTTGTCTTTTTATTAATGGAGGAGCTTGGATGTATGTAACTGTTAATAAGGAATAATACAATTAAGGGAGATGATGAATACCCAAGAGATGGAAGAGATAATCAGCAGTAGAAGGATCCTGAGAGGGAAGAAGGATGCGGTCTAAAGCTCCGATGAAGAAACACCTTTTCTATTTCTTTCAGAAAACTTTGTTTCAAAAAACCCTCCTTCCAAACCTGGGCAGAATTTCCCAGTGCTCCCACAGAACGCTGTCCTTACCCAGTAGGGTATTTCCATGCAGAATCACGATTGCCTACTGCCTCATTCGATCATAGCCCACCTCAGCTCCGAGGGAAGGACTGAGCGTTGTGTTCACCACTGTGTCATCATTGCCTAACGCAGTGATTCTCTGCTCTTAAAATTATTAAGGACCCTAAAGAGTATTTTTATGTGAGTTACAGCTATTAATATTTATAATAATTAGAAATTAAAAGTAGAATATACTTCAATGAGAAGAGTGGCATTGTTTTTGCAAATCTCTCTGATATTGGCTTAAAAGAAGATAGCTGGAGTCTTATACCCACTTCTGCATTCAGTCAGTTGTGATACAATGTACCCTCATGAGAGATCAAGAAAGCAAATAACGTCTTTCATTATAAAATAGTTTTGACCTCAGGATGCCTTGAAAGCATACTGAGGATTCCAAGAAATCCCGTGATTATAATCTGAGAATCACGAGCCTAATTTAATAAGAAGAACACAGAATTATTTCTTTAACTTGAGCTTCTACTCCATCCCCACCACCTCCCCACTCACTGATGTCCTTTCCAAAAAAATACATAACTTAAAGCAGCATTTATGGAATCTTTATGTTGAAAAATCCTCAGTTAACCAATCTACCTTTAATTATTGTTCCATTTCCATGGCTTCAGTCAGTTAATCAACCTCTACCACAATTTTTGTTCAACGTTGAAATTATTCAGAGTGAAATAACTTATCAAAACTTGGAAATTCCACCAAAAGATTTGCTCTTTGGATGGTTCTCACAAAAAACAAAATTGTGTTGCATAAAATATTTTTTTGCAAGGGTATCATTTAGTTTCAAATTTAGTTTCAAATTAAATGATTCAATTCCCACTTGGACAATGGATTCCCTGCTTGTGATTAATTAGCAGACACGACACTCTTCTTCTCTCAGATGCATGAAATCCTATCAGCTTCAGAGGACTCCGGGCTGCAAGCCTGGTGCTCTGGGCTCATGGTTCTGTTCTTGGTAATCAACTGTGTCATCTTGACCAGTCCCTTCTGTGAGCCTCACTATTTTTTCTTCCTTGAGGCTAGACCAATGGTTCTCAGACTTACTCATAAGAAGGAGCAGTCAGAAGTCAAGGGCTTTTTCTTAAATGCCATATTTTTTTGCTGAACACCATTTTTAAAAATGGCAATTTAATTACACTGAGTAGATTAAGTACAATTTTTGCTGTTGTTGTGGTTGCCATCGAGTCAGATCCGACTCATAGCGACTCATAGTGACTGAGGCGGTATCACTACAGAAGTAGATTGCCCAACCTTCGTTCCAAGGAGTGACTGGTGGGTTTGAACTGCCAGCCTTCTGGTTAGCAGTCAAATGCCTTGGGCACTATGCTGCCAGAGCTCCCAAGTACAATTTTAGCCTTAGAAAATATGACTGCCTTGTAAGACTTATAGGAGCTCTGGTGGCATAGTGCCTAAGGCATCTGACTGCTAACCAGAAGTCTGGTGATTTAAACCCACCAGCCACTCCTCGGAAGGAAAGTTGGGCAATCTATTTCCGCAGTGATACCACCTTGGAAACCCAAGGAGGGGTCACTATGAGTCGAATCCGACTAGACAGCAGTAAGTTTGGTTTGGTTTGGTTATAAGATTCATACACTGAATCAAAATTGGGAGCACAGAAGTCCATTAAGGAAAAAAAAAGAGAGAGAGAGAGAGAGAAAGGCTATCCAGTTAAGCATGGTTAACTATTTGCAAATTTCTTTCGTAAATATTTATTTGCTATTTGTTCATTCTGTTTGTCAGCTATCACTTGCAGTGCCCTTGGTTTTCAAGAAACAGATGGGAGGAAAACTTTACTTCTGCTCATTAACTACTTCTGCTAATTGAGAAAATCTTGTTTTCAACTATCAGTGAAACCTCTCAGTCTTGCTCAAAGAAACAGAGAGGAAGGTCCAGTGCCATTGGCTTTAAAAATCATGACATTCTATACTTTTACCAAATGTCTGCTCTTCCATAGAACAGCCAGCCTTACTACACAGAAACGCGGCCTCTGAGAGCCAAAAGAGCTTCCTACATTACAGTATTACTCTGATCCTTAATTTGCAGATAAAGCAAAGCAAGACCTAGAGGCTCCACGGTTTTCCTAAATCCACCCAGCTACCTATAGGCAAGGCTGAGCTTAGACTCTGAGTCGCCCATCTCCTGGTATGCTCGTAGTTTTCTATTCTAAAGCTTGCCTTATAAGAAATAGCATACGTGCTCCAGTACACATATAGTCAATGGTCTGTTGATGTTCTATCATCATTTGTAACTTGTTGTTGTTGTTGTTGTTATGTGCCGTCGAGTTAGTCAACAGTATTCTCTGCAGTTGGGAATTTGCCATTAGAAATCTCATCCTCGTACATAAGATTCTTGTTTTTTTGGAAGTTAAGATTTAATTAAAATCCATTTAGTTTTTTTTTTTAAGCTGTAAGAGATGAAACAATAATATGCAAAGCAGCAGATTAATTATTAGTCTATTAGTTCAGTGTTCCATGTGCGTGCTCCATTTATTTTTGTTCAGCTTACGAGCTGTAATGAAGTCTACGTGTTTTGTCATTGTCACTAGTATTAAGTCTGCAATTTTTCTACCTCAGAGAATGGCAGAAGAACCCCAAAAGAAAATTCTGACTTTCCATGGGGAGAGGATTACCTGGATCACCCCAGGAACTCTAAGTGACCTTCTGGAGCTGAAAATGAAGTATCCTAAAGCCCCTCTTGTGATGGGGAACACCTCTGTTGGTGGGTACTGTAAAGGCTACTGTTTCCACCTCCTGTATTAAAAAGCAAAATCTGTGAAAGAAGATGTGAGTTGTGGCATCTACTTATGAATCAAAATGTACATCAGGTGATTCAAACTCACTCCCTTTGACCATCTGAGAGACAGCTTGTTGTACAATTAATTTCTCTAGCTCCTAAAGAGGGAGCTCTGGTAGCGTAGTGCCTAAGGCACTTGACTGCTAACCAGAAAGCTGGCGGTTCAAACCCACCAGCCACTTCTTGGAAGGAAGGTTGGGCAATCTACTTCTGTAGTAATACTGCCTCAGAAACCCAAGGAGGGGGTCGCTATGAGTCAGGGCCAACTCCACGGCACATAACAACAACAAGAAGTTCCCCATTCCAACTCTTGAATGCGACTGGATTTTTCTAAGGTTAATGTTTCTATTCTGCAAGCTTCAGTAAATAGTAAAGCAGATGTCTCTCTCATTAGATTCTTAAGTGAAGAATCTGCTGATAGGTTTATGACTTGGGTCAGACTCAGTTCAAATACCAGGAACATACTTAGGAGAAAAGCAAACCTCTTCTGTCAAAGTTTTATTTTACTTTGCTAATTAGGCTTATAAGGAGTCCTGGTGGCACACTGGCTAAAGCACTCAGTTGCTCACCAAAAGGTTGACAGTTTGAACCTACCAGCTGCTCTGTGGGAGAAAGATGAGGCAGTCTGCTTCCAAAATGATTTACAGCCTTGGAAACCTTATGGGGTGGTTCTACTCTGTCTGGTAGGATCACCGTGAGCTGGAATTGATTTGACAGCAGTGGATTTGGTTTGGTTTATTAGGCCTATGAGACCTTTTGCTAAGCCACAGTGTTACTTGCAGAAAGAAACCTCACTGACTTCTTTCCCACTAATGATAACACTTTTACCTTTTAGGGCTTGATATGAAGTTCAAGGAAGTTTTCCATCCAGTTATTCTCTCTCCTGCAAGGTTTTGGAATTGTTTCTCGTAACTAATACAAACGCAGGTGTGTCTCAGCTATTATAATGAGATCCTGATGTTGTGGGTGCTTCTGCTAAAGAACGCTAAGGCTATTTGACACTGACCAAATCACAGACTCTCGGGCGGCAGGAAATGTTATTTTCCCTTTTTCCACCATAATACTGAACCATGTGTGATCTTTTGTAAAGAATATCTCCTAGATTCCGAAACCCCTGGTAAAGAGTGTATCTATCCTCCTGAGACTCGATTTTCAGCACTTAGCTGGGCTCAACGAATGGCTGTTGAGTCACCCAGAAACTCAATCAGACGTCTAATGACTTAGCTTTTGAATTTGGATCAACTGGTAGCAAACATCCTTTGAAGTCAGAATAAATATTTGTTTTACAGTCTCAAAGGACAGAGACCTCTAGTTATAAGCATCCAATGTCAAAACATAACCAAGTCAAATCAGTTTACGTCCTGAGCTCAAAGTGCAATACGAAAAAGTCTGGAGAGGTAGATGTGTGGGCAGCTGTCTCCTTTCCAGAGGGACCCTTCCACTGCTGAGCCCTTCTAAACTAGTTTATTTGGTAGCAAAACAGAACCATTCTCAAGAAGAGTCTGTCCCAAGATGAATTCATCAGTTACATCTATTTACACAGATAAAAAGCAAACTGTCCTTAATCAAATGGTCTCAGCTCCAAGAAGCACTGGAAGGAAACATTAAATAAGAATCACAAAACTTATCTCGGGTTTTTTTTAATAAGAGCTTTACTTTCTGTCCAGCTTTCCAAAATTAAAGCATGAGCTCCCTCTGTTGAGTAAATGAATACATATTGATACAGTGAAACAGAATTGAAAATATTTTGTGCCATGAAGTTCTTAGAAACATCAGCAATTGTGAATTATAAACAAATATATTCTTTTCAAAACTTTTGACTACCTTGTGAGATGAAACAGAAAGGTAGCTGAAAATTTTCAGTTTCCTGATAAGATTTGCTAAGCACTGATTCTTGGCACAGCAACGCTTTGCAACCACCATGATCTAATTACCACAAGGTGCCCAGCTTTGGTTTTTCACAGCACTTATCACATCTGAAATTAGATTGCTTATTTATTCATTGATCTGGTTATGCTCGTCCTCCCCACTGGACCACTGACTTCTGGCAAAGACTTGGTGCTCTCAGCCCCCGAACCGTGCCTGGTACTCAGTAGGGGCTCCGGGTTTACTTGTAGTGTCACTCAGGCTGATTATAATCCATTAGAGAATGATTCAGTGTTGATTATGAAAAATAGGGTACCCAAACTAAACTAAACCCAATGCCGTGGAGTCGATGCCAACTTATAGCAACCCTATAGAACAGAGTACAGCTACCCCACAGGGTTTCCAAGGCTGTCAATCTTTAAGGAAGCAGACTGCCACATCTTTCTTTAGTGGAGCCACTGGTGGGTTCAAACTGCCCAGCTTTCGGTTTCAGTTTGCATGTGAGCGCTTTAACCACTATGCTACCAGGCCTCCTTAATTGGATACTCATTTAATAGGAAATTATAGAAATGAGAAAACAACTGAAGATACAGTGGGAAAAGGGTGGACTTTAAGCCTAGCTTTTATGATGGGGAGAATTTAGTCAAGTTAAATAAGGAAACAGCGTTGAGAAACAGACACTGGGGATCCAAAACAAAAAAAGGCATGAATCCTCCCTCAGGAAGCTTACAATCTGCTGGTGAAGACAGATGTCAAACAATAACCACACAAATTAAAGGAAAAATTGCAATTGTGACACGTGCTAAACAGGTCAGGTACGTGACATTGGAACACCAGGTAATAGAGAGCTAGGAAAGACTTCAATGGAATTAGGGGATGCTCTGGTAGCATAATGGCTAAAGCACTTGACTGCTAACCAGAAGGCTGGCGGTTCAAACCCACCAGCCACTCCTCGGAAGGAAGGTTGGGCAAT